GCCAACTAGACATGGAGCCATTGATCACTACCCGTTAAGCCCGACAATCTAGCCAACTTTCTACCCACCTTTATAGTGCATTCATCCAGCCCATACTTCTTTAACTTGCTGACAAAAATACTGTGGGAGACCGTGTCAAAAGCTTTGCTAAAGTCAAGAAACAATACATCCACTGCTTTCCCTTCATCCACAGAACCAGTAATCTCATCATAGAAAGCCATTAGATTAGTCAGGCATGACCTTCCCTTGGTGAATCCATGCTGACTGTTCCTGATCACTTTCCTCTCATGTAAGTGCTTCAGGATTGATTCTTTGAGCCTTGTTCTGGCAGCAAAAGACTATCCAAATCTCACCACACCTGTGCACAACCATCTGGGACCGGGGAGGGAAGGACACAGGAGCTGCCGGAGTGGACAAGGACAAGGCCAGTTGCTTCAGAAGATGCAAGAGATTCCCCTAGGGGACAATGATGGAATAATGGGTGGAATTTTCTTCCTAGCCCCAGGCAGCTGGTGGCTGGTCGTGCACAGAAGCAGGACAGTTCAGTGGCCTTTATTTATTTTCTATCCAGGCCGATGCAGCTCTGGATGACAGACAGAGCGATTCCATGTATCTGAGGGAAAAGGGGGTATTTATGTTTCCCACCCCCAGCTGGAATGCGGGAAGTTTCCTCCCTCCTGTGTCTCGAGGGCAGGTGGAAACCCCTTCCCTAGCACTCACTTCTGGATCTGCTCATCTGACAGCCCCCGCGGATTCCGGATCGAGATTTTCGGCACTTCATTGGGATACTAGAAAGAAACAAATCCAGGGATGAATGGGGCCCAAAGTCCTGCCCTGCCCCTCCCTGTGAAGCGTGGCTGCGCTCCTGGGGGTCAGGCACTGTGACCTTACCTGTGGGGGCACAGAGAGCACAAGTGTGAAGCAGACGTACTGAGAGTCCTGATCCTCCGCAGTCGCAGGGTGCAGGGTAATGCAGATTTCCCAGGGCGCTGACCTGTGGGGGCATGGAGGCTGAGGGGAAGCATCCAGCTATCACGTGAGGAATATTAATGAGGCATAGACGGTGCAGCGAGGGGGAAGTGGGCTGCATATTGCCACAGCAGCACAAACCTTCCAGGCAAGCCCCATGGGGCTGAAAAGTGGGTACAGTGCATGGAGTGCAGCAGAGAGGAGACCATCAGGCTGAGCGTGCCTGCCCCGCCCCAGCAGGGGAACCGCTCATTGGGATGGGGCCAAAGTGCACTAACAGCTCAGGAAAAGGAGCCGCTAGGAACGAGGGTGGAGATTGGCAGTAGCTCAGGTACGAGCCAGGGAGCTCAGTGCGCCAGCATAGGACTAAAGACAGCAGAACCCCCTCTCAGTGAACATTCAATCTGGACACGACCATTGGAACCTTATTCTCAGCTCACCAGGGCTTTGAATCCCAAGTGCAGAATCCACAGTTGGACACCCGTAACATCTGTGTACACAAGCCAGTCCAAGGATTGCTCCCAGTACCACTGCTCTGAGATCAGACTTCTGAGATAAACATACACCAAAATGGTAAAATCTCACCCCTCAGAATCTGGTACCTGGTAATAGCACAAATACCTGCCATTTCCTCGAGACACCTGCAGCTCGTCCAGGTATATGGACTCCAAGACCTCCACTTCTGATGGCAAAGCCCTGAGAACAGAGAAGGGACATCACACAGAGCTGCTCTCCCTCGTTCATTCATGACTCCCTCCTCCTCTTCCTCCCTGAGCAATGCACAGATCTGCTTAGGACCTTATACAGCAGAAGCATCTCCCAAACTCCCAATTTACACATAGAAATAATACTGTGGAAATTTGTTTTAAAGAGATACTGTCCAGGTAAACATGATGTGGAAGGCAGCAGGGTCTAGTGGAAAGAACAACAGGCTAGGACTCAGAAAACCTGTGTTCTGTTCCTGGTTCTGCCACTGACCAGTTGTGTGACCTTTGGCAAGTTACTTCCCTTGTCTGGGCCTGTCTTCTCTCCTTCCTTTGTCAGTGTTCCCCATTTATTTAGCAAACTCTTCAAGGGGTGAGGTCTCTTTCTTGTTTCGGAACTACAGTAATGCACATGATAGATAAATTACAAACATTTATTTATCAAAACAAAAAGGAGTACTTGTGGCACCTTAGAGACTAACCAGTTTATTTGAGCATAAGCTTTCGTGAGCTACAGCTCACTTCATCGGATGCATATGAGTATGTATCCGATGAAGTGAGCTGTAGCTCACGAAAGCTTATGCTCAAATCAACTGGTTAGTCTCTAAGGTGCCACAAGTACTCCTTTTCGTTTTGCGAATACAGACTAACACGGCTGTTACTCTGAAACCTGCCATTTATTTATCAGATTATTAAAAGTGAAGGAATTTTGAAAACTTCTTTTTTTATTGAATTTTCTTTACAGGACTCTCAAATCTAACATTTGATTCAGCTGTGTTTCCATGTCAGACTCTAAACTGTAACATCAGAGTCGCAAACAAAGCACAAGCATGTTTATTTGTTTAAAAATAACAGATGTATTTGAAAATTTTAAGAACTATCTTTTTGCTTTACGTTTAAAGTTTGGGGCAAATTTCAGTTGACAGGATCTCTATAGACATAGCTATTTCATTCTTCTCCTGTGGCTGCATTATCTCCAGCTAGGACCACCTCACATCTGGAATTAAGGAGGCTGGGGCCAGGTCATTATTCAGATGGGAGGCTGCCAAGAAAGCTCCGGTGATCCAATACCCAGGAAGGGGTCTCCGAGGGGAGCCGCTAAAGTTGCTGCATGCAGGGCACTGTGCTGCCAGCACCCCCGTCTCTCAGATAAAACACGTCCCAGATCACTCGGAGATTATAGCCCCTCCACCCATCTCACAAGAACAGGCAAATTAGGAGACCACATTTTTAAAGTGCCTTTCGTCTCTGGAAGCCAGAATGTGTAATCGCATCCCAGCAAACTGCGCCCTGACCGCGAAGGAGGGAAGGGATCCAGGGAGGCAACAACCCAACCGAAGTCCCAGCCTGCAAAGCTGGGACGTGGCACAACAGGGGCAGTGGGGCGGAGGGGGGAGGGGGGCGGCAGGGCAGGGGGAGGGGGGGGGGGGGAGGGCACAGCCAGGGCAGCGGGGGAAGGGCCGGGGGGGGGGGAGGGCGCGGCCAGGGCAGCGGGGGAAGGCCGGGGGGCGGGGGGGGAGGGGCGGGGGGGGAGGGGCGGAGGGCGGAGGGAGCGGGGGAAGGCCCGGGGGGAGGGCGCGGCCAGGGCAGCGGGGGAAGGCCCGGGGGGGGGAGGGCGCGGGGGCAGCGGGGGAAGGCCCGGGGGGGGAGGGCGCGGCCAGGGCAGCGGGGGAAGGCACCCGGGGGGGGGGGAGGGCGCGGCCAGGGCAGCGGGGGAAGGCCCGGGGGGGGGGGAGGGCGCGGCCAGGGCAGCGGGGGAAGGCCCGGGGGGGGGGAGGGCGCGGCCAGGGCAGCGGGGGAGGCAGCCGGGGGAGGCCCGGGGGGGGGCGAGGCCGGGGAGTGGCTGCAGGAGGAAATGGGGGGGGCGCAGGGGATCGGGCTCGCTGGGGGGCTCCGCGAAAGGGCGGGGCTGCCTGGCAGCGGGCTGAGGCCCGGGGCCCCGTAGGGGGGAGGGGACTAGAGACGGGGGGAGCCCGGGTCCCCCCGTCTCGGCCCGCGCCCATCGCCATGGTTACCAGTCGGCCGCCGCCGCCTCCTCCTCTCTCTCGCTGGCCGCCGCCATCTGCCCCGCCTGCCCCGGAAGCGGAAGTGCGCGGAGGCCCCGGCGGAAGGGCAGCCCAGACGGGCGGTTGCTAAGCGACGCGGGCGCGGCGGGTCCTCGGGGTCCTGGCGCTGCGCGGTGCCTGCGGCGGCGCCTGTGTAAAGAGGCGGCCTGGAGCCCCCCCGCCGGCCCCGCCCCGGGACAGACCGGGCCGCGGGGTCCCTGCGGCGGGGTGTCGGGGCCGGGGCCGGGCCTGGCCGCCTTTCCGCCCGCCTGCGAGGCCGGGATCCAGTCAGGCCCCTGTGCGGGCACCCCGGGGGCGGGGCGGGGCGGGGCCCAACCAACGGCCCGCGCGGCGGGTGGGCAGATCGCGGTGAGCGGCCGGATCCCGGGTCCCGCTGATGGGGGGCGGGTCCCGCTGGCGGAGCCGGGTCTTGTTACCGCGGAACGGGCTGGGGGATCCCTGCGCCCGGGGGCTGGATCCCTGCGCCCGGGGGGGCTGGATCCCTGCGCCCGGCGGGGGGGCTGGATCCCTGCGCCCGGGGGGGGGGCTGGATCCCTGTGCCCGGTGGGGGGGGGCTGGATCCGGGGGGCTGGATGCCTGCGCCCGGGGGGGGCTGGATCCCTGTGCCCGGGGGGGGCTGGATCCCTGTGCCCGGGGGGGGGCTGGATCCCTGCGCCCGGCGGGGGGGCTGGATCCCGTGCCCGGGGGGGGCTGGATCCCTGTGCCCGGCGGGGGGCTGGATCCCTGTGCCCGGGGGGGGGCTGGACGCCTGCGCCCGGGGGGGGGCTGGGTGCCTGCGCCCGGCGGGGGGCTGGTGCCTGCGCCCGGCGGGGGGGCTGGATGCCTGCGCCCGGCGGGGGGGGCTGGATGCCTGTGCCGGGGGGGGCTGATCCCTGTGCTCGGGGGGCTGGATCCCTGTGCCCGGCGGGGGGCTGGATCCCTGTGCTCGGGGGGGCTGGATGCCTGTGCCCGGGGGGGCTGGATCCCTGTGCTCGGGGGCTGGATCCCTGTGCCCGGCGGGGGGCTGATCCCTGTGCTCGGGGGGCTGGATGCCTGTGCCCGGTGGGGGGGGCGGCTGGATCCCTGTGCCCGGGGGGGCTGGATGCCTGCGCCCGGCGGGGGGGGGCTGGATGCCTGCGCCCGGCGTGGGGGGGGCTGGATGCCTGCGCCCGGCGTGGGGGGGGCTGGATGCCTGCGCCCGGGGGGGGGGGGGGGCTGGATGCCTGCGCCCGGCGGGGGGGCTGGATGCCTGCGCCCGGCGTGGGGGGGGCTGGATGCCTGCGCCCGGCGGGGGGACTAACCGGCCTCCAGGGGTGAATACGCAGATCGCAGTGATCTGGGCAGGGGTGATCCTGGCCATAGGATCTGGTCTGACCTACCAGATCCTGCCCCTAGACAGCCAAGCTCCGGGCAGCAGAACCAGTCCCCGTGAGGGAGACCTGGGAGTCAGGGCTCCGGGTCAGCAGGGGGAGACTCGGGGTATTGAGCACATACTGGGGGGCTCAACCCTGACGAGCGCCATGTCGGTTCCTGGATGCGCAGCTCGGGGCGTGGGGAGGCTCGGATGATCATGGGGGGCATGGACCCTGACCTCATCCCCATCTGCAAAGTGCTGAGCTCACCCGGGGCGCTGTACAAATAACTGATAATAAAATAAAGAACCAGCCCAAATGTACAGGCCCCCAGGAGCCGAGAAGCTGGGACAAGAGCGGCCATGCAGACCTTGGCCCAGGGGAACGAGCAGAAGGCTAAGGGTGTGGGAAGGGAGGGAGTAACAGGGGAGGTGAAATTCTGAGAGAGAAGAGGGAGCCAGGAGCCGGGAGAAGGACCTGATCAGGCTGGAGGACAAAGAGGAGGAGTGTGGCTGTGGGATGCCAAATAAGATGAGGGAGGCTGGTGGCCATGGGAAGAGGGAATGGTGACCCGAATGAGTTTGGGCAGCAGGGCCGGAGAGGAAGGGGTGGAATCTGGAGTGCAGAAGGAGAAGCAGGAGACTGGATGAGAGGAGCTGGAGACGTCTCAGGAGGATGGGAGCTTGAGGAACAGGGAGAGGAAAGACTGGGAACGGGGCAGCCCGAGATGGGATGTTGGAGGTCTCCCAAGAGAAGACCAATGGGAAGCATCTAGGTAGCACCGGAGCATTTGATCACCTCAGTCTCTAATGTGTTTATCTTCCCCTCCCCCCCCCCCCCGCCCCGAGATAAGGAGGTACTTTCATCTCCATTTTCTACATGGCAGGACTGAAGCCCGAGAGGCGACGGCCTGGATGTTCCAACATATTTAGGCACCTGACTCCCACTGAAACAATACCTTTGAGGATCTGGGCCTCAGTGACTTGTCGAGGTCACACAGGAGGTCTGGCAGAACAGGGACTTGAACCCAGGTCCCCCAACTCCTTGTTAGTGCCCTAACCATTGCACTGTCCTTCTTCTCAGCTGGCATAGGCCTGAGGGGGAAGGGGAGGCCCAGGAGGTGGGAGATGAATTGAACAGCCTCTAATGTGCCACTTTGCACTGTCAGGCTGGTGTGCCCACCATGGAGAAATACCACGTGCTGGAGATGATTGGAGAAGGCTCCTTCGGGGAGGGTGTACAAGGGCGCCGGAAATATAGCGCCCAGGTGAGGAGAGATCCAGGAAGGGGCTCTCTCAAGAGTGGGGTGGTATGGGAATACAGTACCCAGGTGAGATTTGGGGAAAAGGCCATACGGGGAAACATAACACAGGGCTGAAGAGTTCTTGGTATGCAGCTCAGGGTTCTGTGATTGGGCCTCCAGGTCCAGGGTCCCTGACAATCATATGTGTGATCCGCACCAGATAGTTTCTCTGGTAGTTTCCACTGTAGTTAAGGTTGCACAACAGTTTCCATTTTAATCCCCTGCTTTCACATGCTCAGCACTTTCTGGAACATTCCTCTTTGGGGCTGACACATTCCAGGCTTTGTTTGCACTTGATGGGGAGATTTATTTGTTTTAGATTTCTCTGATTATTTCTGAATTTGGCAGCTTGATTCTCCCTGTACCTTTTAGACAGGGCTGCAGCAAAAGCAACCAACATCTGAAACTTGGTCTGGGCAGAATCTCACTGAGGTCTGGTACCTTGGCTTGGTCTAGATAAAAATGAGGGTTTTGATTAACTCCTGACAATTTGCAGCTTGGTTACTGAGCCCGTGCAGCTGCAACTGTCATGAATTCTACAGGTTTACACACTGATTTTGGAAAGGCCTTTCACCCTGCATCCATTTCTACTGGCACGATTGTTCACCTACCGTTTTGCCTGCAGTTCATTGCGGATGCAGCTAGTGACGCTTAGATGGCTGGTACCTGATTTGCAGCAGAATATTGCAGTTATGCGACAAAGTGCTACAATTTGCACAGTTCAGTGTGTGCAAGATTCTGCCCAGGAAACCCGAGGCTACTTTTACAAATCAGAACCCCAGAGAGAGATGCACCCTGCACATGGGCAGACCTAGCTACACTCACATACTCACTTTACAAAATTTCCCAGCATTGAATCGTCATACCTTTAAAATGACTGTAGTTTTTCAACCCTAGCTTGTTTTGTAGATCTTGCTGAGATCTAGCATGTTGGAAGAAAATCAATTCAAGATTTTAAAAGTTATGAACACTGAAACTCAGCAAACTCTGGAGTCCCCTTAATCCATGCCTGGTGCTAAGGTTACGTGCAGTGGTAGGGGAGTGTAGACCTGGCCTTAGCCTTCCACCCTAGCAGTTACTTGTTGATCCTTGCCTGGGTGGGAGCAGTGGTGGGTGCGGGCTTGCAGCTCCCAGCTTTGTCTGCTTTGGCAGGTGGTGGCGCTGAAGTTCATCCCCAAAGTCGGGCGATCGGAGAAGGAGCTGAAGAACCTGCAGCGGGAAATTGAGATCATGAGGGGGCTGCACCATCCCAACATCGTCCAGATGCTCGACAGCTTCGAGACTGACAAGGAGGTAAGAGGGCGCGTGTGGGGCCTGGGTGTGAGGGCACTGTCAGCTGCACAGCTTCTCCTGCATAGCCGTAGCTGGTCGCAGCTGGGCCCTTCCCGCAGGTGCTAGAGGGGTCCTGTCACTTCCAGCGACGCCATCAGAGCAGGCATACCTGGCTGGAAGAAGCAAGCGTTGGCCTTTCCAGTGACTCTGCTGCATGTTTCTTGTCCCACCTGCCGGCGGCTGGGTTTGTGCCTTGCTGTTCGGGTGAGTCCCACGGTCGGACTGCACAGCTCTCGTTGTCTCCCACTGCTGGATTCCCCAGTGATTCCCCTTCCCCAGGGCCCAGTGGGGTGTTTCCTCCGCCCCTTGGGCTAAATCCTGAGGCCTCACTCCGGAGGGCCAGTAGGAGGCTGCCTGAGCAAGGGCTAAGTCTGGGTCTCTGGACCTGGCCAGACGTGCTGGAATCAGTGTCCTTGCCCGGTGGGTTTCCCAGCATCAATGCTCCAGCCATGAGATCCCATCCCCAGGGGCCCCCAGGACAAAGCTGGGGTTCGCACCTACTCTCTGAGGTCCCACGATCCCTTCCTGCCTCCTCCTGCAGGTGGTGGTGGTGACGGACTATGCGGAGGGGGAGCTTTTCCAGATCCTGGAGGATGATGGGAATCTGCCAGAGGACCAGGTAGCTCTCTGACGCTGACGCATCGGGGCCAGTCAGAGTCATATCAGGCCTGGGGCAGGGCAGCAGTGAGGGGCTCATTGTCCTGCAGGAAGTGGCAGTGTTGCTCCTTCAGACAAGCGGATGTCAGAGCTGGCTGGACACTGCCGAGTCTTTAGTCTGGGACTGTCCCTCCAGAGGGGAAGGAATCGGAGCCCAGATGCAGGGGCGGGAAGGCTCTGATTGGCTAAGTAGGAGAGAGAACTCACCTTTCACCTCGACGCGAGCTGGGTTCAAATCTAGCTACAAGTGACATGAATTTGCTGGGTCTCAGCCTACTTCTCCCCTGTGTCCAGGACAGGAATAGGGATGAGGGGTGAGTCGGGATCAAAGGGCTATGGCAGAGCTCTGTGCGTGGGCGGGAAGCCCAAGACTTGGATAACCGGGGGCTGTTGGTCAGGATTGAGGGGCCCTGGCAGAGCTGGGTGTGTGGAAAGCCTTGGGCTGTGGGTTGAGACACAGGGGCATCAGCAGAGATCAGTGTGTGCGCACAGCCAGAGCTGGGCTAGCAGGGGGCTGCGGGTCGGGAGTGAGGGGCGCCAGCAGAGCTGTGGGGGGCCCAGGGCTGGGCTAGCAGGGGGCTGCGGGTCGGGAGTGAGGGGCTCCGGCAGAGCTGTGGTCAGGATGCAGGCTCGGCCGTTGAGCCCTCAGGGTTGCCGTGTCTCTCAGGTTCAGGGCATCGCCGCCCAGCTGGTCTCTGCCCTCTATTACCTCCACTCCCACCGGATCCTGCACCGCGACATGAAGCCCCAGAACATTCTGCTGAGCAAAGGGGGTGTCATCAAGCTCTGCGACTTCGGGTAGGGGCCCCAGGAACTCGCCTGCCCTCGGCAGCTGGGGCCATTGGGGCAGTGGAAGGGTTCCTGGGCTGAGGGGGGGGGCTCTCGGAGGCAGAATTAAGGGGCTCCCTCTCTCCCGGCAGGTTCGCTCGCGCCATGAGCATCAACACCATGGTGCTGACGTCCATCAAGGGAACCCCGCTGTACATGTCCCCCGAGCTGGTGCAGGAGAAGCCCTACGACCACACGGCTGACCTGTGGTCTGTGGGCTGCATCCTGTATGAGCTGTTCGTGGGGACGCCGCCTTTCTATACCAACAGCATCTTCCAGCTGGTCAGCCTCATCATCAAGGACCCCATCAAGTGGCCCAAAACCATGAGCCCCTCATTCAAGGTAAAGGGGACGAGGAGTGGGCAGTTCCACTGCACCCCTCAGAGCCACAGCCGCCTGGTTCCAGACAGCCCCCCACCCCCGCATGGCTCCAACATCCCCTCCTCAGGCGAGGTCACTGAACCCCCCTTTCCCAGGGGATGGGCTGTCCAGGCCAAATTCCTGCTTGGGAATCATGAGCGGTTCCACTGACTCCCCTTGCAAACTGGATTCTTCACTTCCTTCCCTGGTGAGCGGTGTTGCTGTGTGCTGTTTGACGGCTGCGGGGACTCACCCCAGAGCTGGCTGCAAGGGTAGTCAGGGGCCTGCATGTTCTGTGTGTCGATCGGTGCAGGATCTGCCTCTTGCTGCTGAATCGTCCTCTGGAATCTCAGCTTCCGTTTACACAAATTGCTTCCAGCCCTTATGGTTGTGAAGAAACGCTTCCAGGGTGACAGAAGCGTATCTGATGCAGCAACACCTGCCTGAGTCTGTAGACAGCCTGAAACAGCAGCTCTGAGGGTCACAGACTGGCTCATTAATCTCAAGGGACGTTAACTCTGAAGCATAGCGATGAGATGCCGTACGCCAGCTTTTAACTATTTCAGCCATTTCACAGAAACATCCATTTCTACCATCTACCCCACGCTCCCTTCCCAAAGTCAGGTGTAGAACCCAGGAGTCCTGACTACTCCTTAGGCTAGTGCACATGCCCAGTTCATTGTGTCCCAGCAAGAGCCAGCAACTGTGGGGGCAGTGAGTGTGACAATGGGTCTCTGTGCCCCTGGGCAGAACTTCCTGCAAGGCCTGTTGATGAAGGACCCTTGCCAGCGCCTGTCGTGGCCGGAGCTACTGCACCATCCCTTCATCGTTGGACAGGTCACCAGTGAGTACCAGCTCTCGCTGCCCCCTGGTGCAATGCCACCATCACCGCCCGCTGCCCAGCCACCCCCTCTGCCCCATCTCCCCCAGAAGCAATAGCAAACTGCCTTGCCTGGCCCTCTCTCCAAATGCCCCTTGAGACCCCAACCCCCCAGCCCAGGCCAGTCTCCAGAGTGCCCATGGGGTGGATGGTCCCCTCCAGCCCCCGGAGCTCCCTCCACCCCGTGTTATGGTTGCTGTGGTCCCTGACTGGGCTCACCCCTCGGCTCCCGGCAGTGATCGATGACACAGAGCAACATGGAATCGCGAACCCCTTCACCAGCAAGCTGCCCCCGGAGCTGCAGGTGCTGAAGGAGAAGCAGGCTCACTCGCTGGCCCCCAGGAGTGGCCAGTCCAAGATCCTGAGGAAGGCGCGGGAGAAGATGGCTGAGGAGGCCCGGAAGAAGGTGTGTGTCTGGTGTCACTGCAGCAGCGCTGGAAGCTCACTGGGACACACGGGGCCTAGGAGGGAACTTGACAAGGAGCTGGACGAGAGACTGAGCAGGGCCCCTCCAGCTGGAGGTCCCAGAAGCAAGTGGGAGGGATAGTGAAGCCGGGAGGTGGTTGGGCCAGTTACGGGGGGGGCCCACAGGGGATCAGGAGTAAGATGGGAGTCTGGGGGGGTTGGACAGTTACATGGAGAGAGATCCCCTGATGACTGGGGGGACTGAGTGGGGACAGGAGCCCGAAGGATTGGTCAGTTACACAGATAGGGCCCCTCAGGTTGGGTGAGAGTCGGGGGTTTGGTCAGTTACGGGGAGATGGGTGTCTGGGTCTTGTCAGTTACAGGGAGAGAGACCCCCTCTGGATGAAGGGGAGTGGAGGCAGGAGTCTGGGGTCTTGGTCAGTTACACAGAGATATAATCTGTCTGAAGCTCTTCAGTCTTTTCCAGGAGCAGCTGAAGGCAGACACTCCATCTAAAAAGGAGGCAGCCAGAAGAGGTCCAGGGCACAAACCCAAAGCAGCCCCTGGGAAGGCAGCCCTCAGGGAGGGGGAGCAGACAGCCTGCGCTCTGGGCTCCCCTCCTGGAGACAAGAACCAAGCCGTCCTGGGAGAAGAGCCCAACGAGACAGAGTGGGAGACAACTGAGCCTCCCCCTACACCACGGTGAGGGGCAGGGATGCCTGCTCTGGCTCAGCTGGGTCTGTGGGTTTCCGGGGGCGGACTGGGCTGGGGGGCACCCGTGAGCAAGGAGATGGCATGAGGCAGGTCTCTAGCTGCTCTGCTTCTTGGGCAGGGAGCACCGGATCACACAGGATTACGAGCGGGAGTTCCCAGAGGTGGACAGCAAGGCGGGGCCACGCGACAGGCGCAGCATCGAGACCGTGCACCTGGAGAGCGAGGTGAGGCGTGACTGGGTGTGGACTGGGGCACTGGGGAGGTCTGGGGCAGGGTTGGCCCCACTCCCCTGAATCAGATGGTATCCACGCGGCCATCTCCCCTCTTGTGACCTTTGGCCTAGGAACTGGATAGTGACGACGAATGGCAGCATCTGATCGAGGCCACGGAAGCCTCCGCCATGCAGCTGAGCACACCCCTGAGCCTTCTGGGGGACCCGGCCTTTCAGCAGCGCATCCAGGCCCGGCTCCAGCACTCCAGCCAGCAGGCGAGTGGGGACAGCCAGGGGAGCGGCCTGGGGGCAGCCAGCGGCTGCCGTGGTTCCTTATTCCCAGCTCGCTATTCAAGGAAGGGCTTGGGACTGGCTGGCAGGAGATCTGAACTTGGTTGTCGGCCGTGTTACCTTGCAGGACCCAGGGGGGAGAAAGAGAGAGAGAGAGGGTGTATGTGTGTCCTGTGCCTCAGTTTCCCCATCTGCACCTAGGACACAGAGCTCAGAGCAAGGCAGGGAAGCCTTCCCCTCCCCCTGCATTGGTGACCCTGGGAAACACCTGGATCCCTCCATCCTCCCTCCCATCCAGGGGAGGAAATTCCTCCTCTGTCCCCAGAAATCTGAGCTCTCCTGTTTGGTGGATCCCTGCTCTGCGCCCCCGCCCCCTGTGGGTCAGAGCCTGTGATGAGGGGAGCCCAGTGGCTGGCAGACATGCTGCCCATGCCAGTGCCGGGTTGCCCGCATCCAGGCCTGCTGCTGATCTCAACATCACAGGCCCCTTCTCTGGCCTCTCTGTGCCCAGGTGCTGGAGGGGATGTTGGAGGGAGCGTCTCATCTCCGCCCAGCCCTCCGTGTCCTGGGCAACCTGCTCGCCGCCAGGTGTGACTCAGAGCTTCTGGACAGCTTCTGCCAGGCCGCGGATTTACCTCGCTTCCTGCTGCACCTGCTCGGGCAAATCCTGCAGAGCGCCAGCAGCAAGCAGGTGGGCATGGGGGAGTGCTGGGTATGCATGTGGCCCCCGCCCCAGAGGCTAGTTTTGCACATGCTGCGGTGGGCCTGTGGGGGAGAGGGGGTGTCGCCCCCTAGAGGCTGTTGTATCATCACCACTGCATGAGCTCTCTGGAGGCAAGTTGTGGCCCCCCTCCAGCTCTGGGTGTGCGTCCTCCCGGAGCTAACCCTGAGCGACTAGCTCCCCCTTGCAAGCCCCTGTCAGAGGGGGAAGGGCCCTAGGGTGCCATAGGTCAGGGCAGTTTGGCTGCCCACCAGTCAGAGTGGCACTGCCTGGCACATGGTTTCTTTCCTGCTCCCGCAGCAGCCCTGGTGCATCACGCTGCTGGTGGACCTTGTTGGCGTGACAACGGCCTATTTCACCAGTGCCTCCCACCTGGGGTGGAGCCGGAGGAAGAGAAGGTAGAGTGGCCGCCAGCGGGGTGGGGGGAGTCTCTGAGAGGCACTGCACTGAGATCCCCTCCCACCCTTCTCCCCACCAGCCCCGGGGCCCTGAGGATTGGGGGCCACGCTGCGGGATTAGAGCTCGCGGCATGGGGGAAAGACCTGAACGTGGCCCACCCACAGCATGTTGTCCTGCAGAGCTCTCAGAGCACTTGTGGATGACACTCAGGATCATCATCCCCTGTTGTAGAGGTGGGGAAACTGAGGCACAGAGGGGGGAAGGGATACTCCGGGATCCCACAGAGTAGCAGAGCTGATGAGTTCAGACTTCCTGTCTCCCATCCTGAGGCCTCCCCACTGGGCCATGCCACCTCCGTTGGGGCTGACCTGCCTGTTAGCCAGACGCCTGCCTCCCTGGGCTGCCCTCCCCTGGGGGCTCTGTAGTAAGGGCGCAGCTGGCAGATCCCATGGGGAGAGCTGTTCCCGTTGCCTGGTTGAGCGTGCAGTTCATCGGGCAACCCCTGGCCCCCCGTGCCTCGCCTCACTGACACCTGCCTCCCCCAGCCTGCAGGTTTTCCACGAGGCGGCTGCCGGCTTCCTCTCCCTGCTGCCCAAGCTGCTGGCCCAGCCAATGGACGTCGAGATGAGGCTCCGCCAGCAGAGCAGCATGGTAACGGTGCCCCTCCTGCGTGCTTGGCTCCCTCTCGCTGCCCTGTGCTCGCTCGCTGGGCCTCTCCCATGGGCTCCTGCCGTCCAGCGCAGGGCCTCCTTCCTGTCCCCTTGCTCCTTCCTTGTATCTCTCCCATCGCCTCAGACCGGGCTGGCTCCCTCCCCTCTGGGGCGTGGCTCCCTCTGCCAGCCCTGGCCCTGCAGGGTCAATCCTGCGGGCCCTGAGCCCCTTGCTGTCAGAGCAGCCTCCATGGCTCAGGATCATCCTGGGGCCCCCTCCCCTCTCAGGCCTGGAGCCTCCGTCCATGGCCTCCCCTTTCCTGCTCTTCCCTGTCCCGTCCCTCTCCCCAGCCGTGCGGTGACTGCGGACCTCTGTGTCCCTCTGCAGAGCTTCACCCTACTCTGTGAGGACATGGACAGCAGCAGCCCCAGGGTGTCGGGCCCCTTCTATGCCAACCTGCTCGCCAAGCAGCGCCCCCTGCTGGACACACTCCTCCAGGGGGCCACCCTGGAGATGCCCACTCCGGAAGGTAATGCTTTCCCCGCACCTGGGATGAATGGGGGGATTTCCCGCATGATGGGGGCAGCCCCACATCTGCCTGGTGGCTGGGCTCCCTCTGGCCCCTCGGGCTGGCGGGGTCCCCAGGGAGCTGCAGTCACTGCCCACGGTTCTTTGTTCCTCGTTTTAGTGCTGGGGAAAGTACGTGACCGATGGCCCTGATCGGAGCCAAGGGTAGAACAGACCATTCCTCCCACAGCTCTGCTGGTGCCCCTCACTCCTGACCTGCAGCCCCCTGCTAGCCCAGCCCTGGGCTCCTCCCCACGCAGCTCTGCTGGTGCCCCTCAATCCTGACCTGTAGCCCCCTGCTAGCCAGCCCTGGGCCCTCCCCACGCAGCCTGCTGGTGCCCTCACCCTGACCTGCAGCCCCTGCTAGCCCAGCCCTGGGCTCCTCCCCACGCAGCTCTGCTGGTGCCCCTCACTCCTGACCTGTAGCCCCCTGCTAGCCCAGCCCTGGGCTCCTCCCCACGCAGCTCTGCTGGTGCCCCTCACTCCTGACCTGTAGCCCCCTGCTAGCCCAGCCCTGGGCTCCTTCCCCACGCAGCTCTGCTGGTGCCCCTCACTCCCGACCCGCAGCCCCTGTGCACTAATTGTCCATCTGGCTCTCTCTCAGCACCCCGATCTTTGTTCATAATTACATGTTGTCAAGGTTCCTTCCCCACTCTGAACTCTGGGGTACAGATTTGGGGACCTGCATGAAAACCCCCTAAGCTTATTTTTACCAGCTTAGGTTAAAACTTCCCCAAGGCACAAAGTCTTTGCCCTTGGATTAGGTAAAACGCTGCCACCACCAAGTGTTTTAGACAAAGTACAGGGAAAGGGCCACTCAGAGCCCTATTCCCCCAAATATCCCCCCAAGCCCTACACCCCCTTTCTGGGGAAGGCTTGAGAATAATATCCTCACCAATTGGTACAGGTGACCACAGACCCAAACCCTTGGGTCTTAAGAACAATGAAAAATCAATCAGGTTCTTAAAAGAAGAATTTTATTTGAAGAAAAGGTAAAAGAATCACCTCTGTAAAATTAGGATGGTAAATACCTTACAGGGTAATCAGATTCAAAACACAGAGAATCCCTCTAGGCAAAACCTTAAGTTACAACAAGACACAAAAACAGGAATATACATTCCCTTCAGCACAGTGAATTTACAATCCATTAAACAAAAAAAACCTAACGCATTTCCTAGCTAGATTACTGACTAACTTTACAGGGGTTGGAGAACTTGCATCCTTGATCTGTTCCTGGCAAAGGTATCCCACAGACAGACAAAAACCCTTTGTCCCCCCCACTCCAGATTTGAAAGTATCTTGTCCCCTCATTGGTCATTTTGGGTCAGGTGCCAGCCAGGTTGCCTTAGCTTTTTAGCCCTTTACAGGTGAAAGGGTTTTGCCTCTGACCAGGAGGGATTTTACAGCACTGTATACAGAAAAGTGGTTACCCTTTCCTTTATATTTATGGCACGTGTCTTCGATCTTTTGTCCCTGCCCAGAGCCAGCGAAGGAGGCGAAAGCCGCGCGAGAGCAGCGTGAGCGTGGGGCAGATGTCTTCACAGCAGCACTGGCCGCAGTCTGCAGCCTCCCCGTGGGGCGGAACAGGTGCCAGGAGGCCAAAAAGCAGGTCAGGAGCTCAGACCGCTCATGGTTCCTTCCTGGCCGAGAGGCAAAAAGTGCCCTGCAAGCATCCTGCGTGGCTGGAGGTGACGGGGTCGCTGCAATCTGCAACCCCCCTGGCCTGATCTAGAGCATGGGATCCCGAGCACTTTACAGACGCTGCCCAGGGGACACTCGCATGCAGCCACCTCTGGGGTGGAAAGTGGCAGGTGCCACGCAGGGGCTCGGGACAGGGAGTAAATGAGGCTCCAGAAGCCAATGGAACACACGGCGGAATTCGGGGAGGGGGAATGCGATTATCCCCGCTGCGGTCTGAGCAGGACGCTGGGTTAATGCAGAGGCAGCGTGAGAGGGTCTTTACCAGTCCTAGGCGGTCTGGGATGCAGCGTTCCCCAGGGCCATGCTGGGGCATGGGGCCAGCACGGACTGCCAGGGGAGAGCGCCCCCTACTGATCTCCCACCCTGCTCCCTGCAGCAGAGCGCCCCCTACCACTTAGGTGGCTAGCAGGTCTCTGGGACTGTGATCCTCTTGGCTGATTTCCCACAGGTCGCCCAGCTGGTGGCTGAGAAACTGACGGAGGAAAACAGCCAGCTCTTAGTGAGGCTCCTGGCGGGACTCGAGCGCCCGGCCTGCTCCCTGAACGTGCTGAAGGTAACGGGTCCCTGGACTGGCCCCGCCGTGCCTCCATTGCCCCTTGGTGGGCTTCCGTGGGGCCGATGGGATGGGGCCTCCCGCTGTGCTCTCCCCTGCAGATCGAATCCAGCCCTGGCCCCGCTGCGTGTCAGCTCGGGCTGATTGTCGCTTTCACAGCGCGGCACCCGCATGGCACCAGCTGTGCCACATAGTAACGGGCCTGCTGCTCTCAGGTGGCAGATCTTGGCCGTCCTGCCTCCTCCCCACTGTGTCCCTTGGGGCCCGCCTGCGATGTGGGGTCACCATGAAACTGAGCCCACCAGGGCCTGCAGGCTGGTCTTGGGTCTCTGCAGGGCACCTCCTCCCCCCTTCTCCTTTTCCAGCTGGGCTGCCGGCTCTGTGTGTCCCCCGCGCTGACCTCTGCTGTCCCTCTGTCCCCCAGGTCTTGTACTCCTGTGGCCACGCCAGTAAAAGCCTGTGCCAGCTCCTGGCCAAGGGGCAGCAAGTGCCGAGCTCCCTGGCCCGGCTGGTGAAGGGCGAGGTACGTCCCTCTCGCCTCACGGAGACCCCCAGGGGGCGGATCGTGGGTACAGCTGGGCTCCTCGCTCTGTCGGGCTCCTCCCTCCTGCTGACTCCCGAGAGCACGGGCTAGATCCAGCCCTGGGTCCGGGGACTTCGTGACCTCGGTCACCAGGCTGTGGGGAGGAGGGGCAGAGGGACCTGGGGCGAGTGAGGTCCAAGGGGTGCAGAATGAGCAGAGACGACTGTACCAAGGATTGTGGGGGAGGGGCGGGGGAAGGCGTAAGGTGGGGGGTAGAGGAAAGGGATCTGGGGGAGGGGAGAAGGAGGTTAGCCAGGGCCTGGCAGGGGAGGAGTTGGGACCGGTTTGGTAAGGGGGGGGCAGGGCAGGGTGGGGTGGAGGTAATCGGGGAAGGAACCATTGTCCAGATCTGCATCTCGGCCTCTGGTGTGGGCAGCCCAGTGATTCCCTGGTGCCCACCCCTGCAGCCTTTGCCCTCCTGCCCAGCGCCCAGGTCTTGCTGCCCCCAGCCCTGAGCTCTCTCCCTTCGCAGGTCCCGATGGGGGAGCGGCTGCGGGTGCAAGCCTGCGAGGCGTCGCTGCACCTGCTGTCTCTGCTCACCCTCCAGCTGCAGGCTCCCCCTCCCCGGTAAGTGTGCCTGGCCCCCACCCTGCGTCCAGCCTTGGCAGGGACGCTGGCATTCAGCGCCTACAGGGGCGAGCTGGGGGGCTTCGGCCTAGTCTACTCCACACGCCTCCTCACCAGTGGCCCCGGCTGGCCCCTGGCTGCTGGCTGCTGCAGAGATCTGCTCCTAGGTGGGATCCCCGCCAGGGCAGCGCTGCAGTTAGCACTGGATTTCCCCGTGCGTGGAGCCTTTCAGGCTCTGGCTCTGCCCCAGGGGAAGCTGCGTTGACCCTTCTCCGGCAAAGTAGCCCATCAGCATTGTGGCTGTAGGCCATGGGATGTGGGACTCAGCAGGGGCGCTTTCCCCTCGGAGACCGCGCTGACCCCAGTGGGGCGATAGGGGGCGCTGGGCTGCGGGGCTCAGTAGGGGGTTCAGTGCAGTCCCCAGTGGGGGGCGCTGGGTTGCTGCAGTACCACTTTTCTCAGAAGACAAGAAATGAAGCCCTTAATCTCGGGGTGGGGTTTCCGTAGAGCCAGGCTCTGGACCCTCCTGCCTTGGCCAAATGCCAGCTGGGCAGCTTCATTCTGCCTCCCGAAAGTCCCTGGCAGTTTGTTGAATTATGGGATCTTGCTTCACCTCCTGGCCTAAGCCGCGCAGCAGCATTGCTATATACTGTGACCCAGCTGCTGCATTGCATCTCAGAGGTGGCTGCCTTTCAGTGCTGGGGGAAGTGGTTGCTGTCCGTGATCAGTTTGCCCAGCTCTGTAGGGTGAGTCAGTCCCTGGCGGGGGCCGATTTCCCAGCTTCTCCTGATGCCTGGGTCTGGGTCGCTGTGTTTCAGGGTGGACCTGGTGGTGAGTGACGCCACCGAGCTCTTCACCCAGTCGGCTGTCTTCTCCCTCGTGGTGAGTCCGTCCACCTGGCACAGCCCCACCCAACCGGCTCCCGTCCCGGGAGGGCCACACCTGGCTTGAAACAGCCAAATCCCCATCTGTGTATGGGCAAAGCCCTGCATCTCTGCCTAACCCTTCCCATTCAGGGAGCTAGCTGCAGTCGGAATTGTTCCCACACTCAGGGGGAGGAGGTCACAGCCAAATCCTCTTAGTCCGAGGGGTGTGGGGGCAGTCTGGCTGATCCTACACTTGGGGGAGGGGGTCAAAAACAGATCCCCATGGACGGGGATAGGGGGTCAGTTTGACGGTTCCTACACCCGGGGGTGATGCTCACACTCAGATCTCCCTGGGCGGGGGTTAGGGGGTCAGGCTGACTGTTCCTACACCCGGGGGCGGGGGTGCTCGTCGTCAGCTCCCCGTGGGTGGGGAAGGCGTGCCAGAGGAAGGGAGTGGCCAGCTGTGTGTACCCCCGGACTCTGCGGTGCTGAGCTCTCCTCTCCCCTGCAGAGCGCCGCGGGATTCCTGCTGGCTCAGCTCGGACAGCAGGGGGCGGCCATCGAGGTGGGGTGCGAGGACGCCATGTCGGCCATGACCAATGCACTCACTGTGCCTGCTGAGGTAGGTGGCGAGCAGCTGGGGGCTGCCCCGTGGGAAGGCAGGGCCAGGAACCCCCAGTGCACCCCCGCGAGGGGATGGACAGGCTGGGATGCCCTGACCGGGTCACCCGCAGCTCAGCACTAATCCAGTCTGGCCCGTCTGATGCCATGGGAGCGTTTGGAACCACCCACTTCTAGAGCCCAGTGCCCAGCGCTAACCTGGGCCCCTCCTGCCCCACTTCTCTTCCAGCTGCACCTGCCCCCACCCATGGGCGCTGGGCTCTACGATGGATTCCTGCTTCTCCTGCTGCAGCTCCTCTCCCAGGTACCTCGCTGCCCGCTTGGATCTGGCACCGGGACTGCCTTGGCGGGAGGCTGCCGGGGGCTAAAGGGGGTGGGCGAGGGTAAACCCAGGTGTCCTGGATCCACAGGATTGGGGTTACGCCCTGTCACGGAGTCCCTGGGCGATGCTCTGGAACTGCTCCCCATGAAGCCAGTCAGGACTCTGGGGCAGTCGCCTTTCTGTGAGCAGCCTGTCTTCAGGACACACAGCTCACACAGCTTCCACCTTCCTGGGTCTGACCTTGGAGCATTCAGCCTCCTCTGCCCCTCTGTGTGCTTCCCACAGCGAGTCCGTCCAGGCGGGGTCCTGGGGAAGCCAGAGGGTCCTGTCCCCCAACTCCGCAGTTAGACGTGACTCTCAGCCAGCCAGTAAAACAGAAGGTTTATTAAACGACAGGAACATGGTCTAACACAGAGCTTGCAGGTGCAGAGAACCGGACCCCTCAGCTGGGTCCATTTTGGGGGGCAGTGAGCCAGACAACCACATCTGCACTTCACTCCTTGTCCCCAGCCAGCCCCAGACTGAAACTCCCTCCAGGGACTGGAGCCACCCATGGGTGTGGAGCTGCCAGCCCGCAGCGGGAGAGGAATGGCCCTGGGAGTGGTGCAGTGGGGGAGGAGGACCATGGGAGAGGAGTGAAGTGAGACCAGGAGACAAAACGCCCAGCACATTGACAGCTCCATTCCCAAAGCGAGCCGTGATCTGGGGGTGTCTCCCTGAGGGGGCCTGGGTTTCAAAGCAGGGTGCTTGGCACTTCTGACCCTCCAGCCCCTTTAAGATGGCACAGGCAGGGCCCCCAACTCCCTAGTCACGGGACTCGCCCGGGGAGCAGCTGCTGGAGATGCTAGTGGGAGGGGAGGCAGGGGCTGGGGGCTGGCCCGTCAGAGGGGGGTGGAGGCAAGTGAATGGGATGGGGGGGACCCATGAGACCATCTCTCTATTGTGATGTGGCCTTGAAAGAGTCTGAGCCCCTGGCTGTGGTCCAATCTGGTGAGGTTCTGACACCCCACCCTGGCTCCCACTGGGCCAGGCCCTTACTTTGTGGGAGTACCAGCTGCCTACAGGACTCTGGGTTTGGCCCCTTGGTGGTGGCGAGGGTCGAGGGCGCTCCGCCCCACGCGGCATGGCGCACTGACCGGCGTTCTCCCTCTGCCAGGGCGACACGGTGACGGTGCGGGGGTTTGCCAGCTCGGAGCTGTGGAACGTCGCCTGGCACCGTTTCGCCATGGTGCTCCACCTGGCCGCTGATGAGCCAGTGATGGAGGGCGAGGAGCCACTGCCAGGCCAGCCCACTCCGGAGCCAGACTGGACCCTCGTCTCTCCTCAAGGTAGGGAGGAAGGAATGTCACTTTCACCCGGTGGCCTAAGACTACACATCCCAGAATGCCCTCTGGCTGTTAAATATCCCCCACATCTGGGAGTTGCAGGTTCCCACGAGGGGTGGAAGCTGCTTCCTTCACTCGGGGCGGCTCTTCACCTCGAGATGTTGGAAGCATAATTCCTCACCTGCTAATCCCCATGGAGACAACTGAGATGAATGGATTCCCTCAGCCTGGAGGTCTGGCCTGCCTGACCCTATTAGCATCTCCTGTGGCAGGTTCCTTTGAAGACTCATACGTGCGCCCAGATGCAGCCTGGCTGGTGAATTTTTGAAGGATGAAGAATATGAGGAAGGACGACACAATGGTTAGCCTGGCACTCAGGAGACCTGGGTTCCATTCCCGGCTCCACCACAGACTGAGATCGTTACTTAGTCTCTCTGGGCCTCAGTTTCCCAGCTGCCCAATGGGGATGATGGCCCTGCCTCCCAGGGGCCTGTGAGGTGCTCAGATACTCCATGATTGGGGCCCAATAGGTGCCTTAGCTAGAACTTCAGTTGACGGTTTGTGTCTTGGTGTGGAGCCTTTCACATGTCTCACGCCATCTGCCCAAACATCTTCTGCCTCTCTCCTGAGTTCAGCCCTTCCCTCGGGGGCAGCGAAAGTCTGGTCTCTTGGTTTATTAGTAGCTAGATTATACCCAGCGCCCCCTCACCAGGTCTCTAAAGCCCCCTTGGCGTCCTGGGACATTAACATGGGCCTTATGAGGCTCAGGCTGGTGCTTGGTGACCACGGTGGTGGGTGTCTTAGACATCCAGATTGAGTCGAACGTGGCAGCCCGTCTTCCTGGGGCAGCGACCTCAGCCAGGGAGCCGCAGGGGCCAGTGACTGCGCCGGCCTACGCCACGTCCTCGATTCCTGCCAAGGTGGGGCTGGCATCCCTGCCCGTGCTGGGTGGGGCAGGAGAGGAACAGGGAAGCTGCTCTGGAGAGGAGGGGACAGCTGAGCCCTGGTGGGTTGCTTGCCGTTCAGCAGGCCCGTCTCCAGGAGATCACAGTCAGGGTCGCTAGCCTACCTCAGGCCTGTTCCCAGCCAGCTCTTCTGGAGTCTCCCGGTTTGACGGACGCTTCCCTGGCTCTGCCTGGTCTCGGGCAGGAGTGGAGACCTGATCGCAGGAGCGCTCCCCACTCTGCCTCATGCCTGCGAGGCAAGATGGAGCGGCCTGGCTGCCCCAGAACCCGCCCAGCACCGGGACAGTGGGGGATGGGGGGGGGCAAGACTCATTGCTCACCCCTCATTTCACCTGTCTGCCAATTTCCCCATCCCCTGCAGGCACCGCGCTCTTCCTCAGCCTGGCCCTCTTCGTCTTCACCCGAGAGCCTCACCAGTGCCTTCTTCAGCTCGCCCACCCCAACAGCATCATCATGGCAACCTTCCCCAAGCTGCTGTCCCTCCACTTCCTGGCTCACCTGGCGCAGACGTGAGTTCCAGCCAGTCAGGAGCTTGGCTGGGCGGGACGTGGGGGTTTCATGACTGGTGGTGCCAAGGGGAACTGGGATCTAGAGAACACGCTAACTGGGAGGGGTGCAGAGAAGAGGCTTCGAAAACCTGCCTCAAAGAGCCCAGTCTATGGAGCTTATCAAAGGACGACTTGATCAGTCTCTAAGTATCTACATGGGGAACAAATATGTGAGAACAGGCTCGTCGGTCTAGCAGAGAAAGGGTTAACACAGTCCAGTGAAGCTGGACTGGAAATCGGGTGTCCGTTTTTAACAAGGAGGGTAATGAACCACAGGAACAACTTCCCAGGGGTTGTGGTGGATTCGCCATCACTGGCAGTTTTTCCACCAAGCCTGGGTGTTTCTCTAAGAGCTCTGCTCGGAGTGATTGGGGGGCAGGTCTCTGGCCTGGCTTCTGCGAGGGGTCAGACCAGATGATCACAGAGGTCCCTGCTGGCCTTGGAATCTCGGAATCTAAGGGCAGCTGGGACACAACTTGCCCTCTTGGCATGTGTGTGCCTGCTGCAGATGGCCCCACTCAGGCGCAGTGTGGACGGATGGTCCCTGAGGAACAGTACAATCACTCAGACCTCCCGCTGGGCCTAGCATTGCGGGGCTCATCCATCTGATCCTCTCTGACCCCTCTAATGACCCCAGGCAGGTGGGGGAGGACGGTGACCCCGAGCTGGTCCCAGCTGTGGTGCTCCAGGCCTGCCAGCTGCTCTGCTTCCCCTTCTCCTTGGACGTGGACACTGAGACCTTCAGGTGGGTCATGAAGGCCCTGAGAGACGCCGAGATCCCCGCCCATCTCCTCCAGGTACCCAGGAATGCTCCCTCCCTCCCTCCCTCCCATGGCTTGGGCTCTGGAGCCGTGATGAACGGGCCCCAGGCTCTCGGTCTAGACTCCATGTGCCCTTTCTTTCTCTCCGCGATCCCTCCACCCTACTTGCTCCCCGCATGCCAAGCAGAACCCTGTGGACCTCTCCTCCCATTTCTGCCTCTTGTCTGTGGTGCCTGTCTCCATTAGACCCTCCATTCACACCGCCCTGGTCCATCCAAGTCCTCTCAGTAGCTGCCATCTTTCCTACTTCTAGGTCTGCTGCCACCATCTGCCCTTCTCGGAGACCGCGCTTCCCATGAGCCTCCTGTGCCACCTCGTCCTGTCCGACGAGCGGGTCATCGACCAGTTGGTGGGGGTGGCTGCTGCTTCGGACTCCGCCACTGCCTTCCTGTCGGCCATCTTGCTTTCGGACAGCCCTCTGCTCACAATGGACCTCCTGTCCCTCCTGACCCACGTGGCCCGGGCCTGTCCTGCTCACCTGCCTTTCCTCCAGAAGATCCTGGGCGGCTCGGACTCGGCCTACCAGCTGCTGAGCCACCTGCTGTGCCACCAGGAGCACCCGATCCGCGCCAAGGCCTGCAGCCTGGTGGGCAACCTGCTGCGTCACAACCAGGACTTCCCCCGGGCGCTGCGGAGCCGGGCGGGCCTGCTGGAGCGCCTACTGGAGCGTCTGTCGGACCAGGACGAGAGCGTGCGCAGGTCGGCCAGCTTCGCGGTGGGCAATGCTGCCTACCAGTACGGCTCCCTCCCGCACGCCCTAGGGAAAGCCGTGCCCGGCGTGGTGAGGCTTTTGAGCGACCCCCAGGCCAAAACCCGGTGTAATGCCGCCTCCACTCTGGGGAACTTGGGCAGGCAGACAGCGGAACTGGGGGACGTGCTGATCCAGAGCAGAGCCCCCCATCTCCTGCTGGAAGTGGCCTGCCATGACTCCCAGCCAGCTGTGCAGGAGGCAGCATTGGTCGCACTGCGGTCCGTCAGCCAGCAGCCAAAGATACACCAGGTCAGGAGCGCCTAGTCAGATTTCAGTGGGGGGGAGGGGCGAATTTCAGCAGGGTCCATCCCCCTCCCCGCCTGGGGAAGCTCCCCGGCCAGGCCTGTCCCCTGCGGTTCCCTCCCCACCTCTGCCTCCCTCTGGGCCCGGCCACTCGCACCAGCCTGTTGTTAAGGGATGGCAGTGGGGGGTTTCACACCGTGCCCATGCCCCACATACTGGTCGTTCACCAGAGTTCTGTAGCTCCAGGAGACTGCGGTGATGGTGCCCCAGGCCCAGTGCCCCTCACCACCACCATCTGGGAATTCCCGGCTGTCCTCCCATGGGGAGTCCCTCATGCCCCTGGGGCAGGAAAGGTGGGTGGCAGTCTCATGCCCCAGGGGGCAACCTAAATGATGCTCCTGCACCAGGCGCCATCCAGCCTCCCTCTGCATCCAGAACCCTCAGGCCCATCCCTCCATCTTCTTATCCTGATTCTGTGAAGTGCTCTGAGCTCCACATGTCACCTAGAAAGCTGGACCTTAGACTTTGAGATGTGTGCAGACTGACGGGCAAAGAGGGTAGATGGGGCAGGGCCCCCTGGCAGGGAACGTGGCTAAGGCAACACACAGCACAGCCCAGGCTAGCTGTGTGGTGAGTGTCGTCTCCTTTGGGTTCCAGGTGCTCGTGTCGCTCAAGGCCAGCGAGAAGCTGCTGGCACTTTCCATCAGCGAAGCTCAGACCAGTTCCTATGGGAGGCCCCGACCGTCTTCAGCTCATCACTGCAAGAAGCTCATCCACCTTCTGCGCCCAACACACAGTGCCTGAGAACAGCAGGTCTCTGCTCTGGGAGAGACCGTTCCACCCGCCTCTTGAGGACGACACTTTGTGCTGGAATACAGGGGACACTCCCATACTCTGTCCAGAAACAGGGGCCACCACCCCCATCTCCTGAGACCAACGCAGTGCCTGAGCATGGCAGGTCCCTGTGGAGTCGGGGGAGACCACCCTGACAAAAGTTGGTCAAGGAAACGTATCTGATAAAGACAGAGATGGGTGAAATACGGTGTGTGAGAGAAAGAAACCAGAACTCCTCCTCCTCTTGATCCAGACCCCTGCTCGCCAGTGAGACCCCTCTGCCAGTCCTGAGAAAGATCATGCCAGCAACTCCCTTTCCTGTCCTTTTGTAGAGATCTCTCCAACCCCAAATTTGGTGCCCCCCAAACTTCCCCAGGGACAGACGTTGGTTAATGTTCCATCTTGTACTATCTCCACCCCCACCACACTTCATTCCAAGAGCACCTTGGAATGAATGAACCCAACCCCGTTTCCAGGCTGAATCCTATCCAACCAGGTCTAGCTTCTACTTAGAGGTTCTTCTGACTCCAGGCACCTTCCTGGGAAGAAGCCTCCAAACCTAAAGTACCCAGCTTTCAAAAAGGGGTCTCATGCTTACTGAGATGTACCTTATGGTCACCTAGGTTGAGCCATGCAGGGAATCCAGCCCCAAGATCCAGTGTGTCTTTGGCCTCTCCCCACGTCAGTCTCTCTCCCACCAGAGAAGTGCCCCATCCTCCTTGAATGAGCTCCAGCAAGATCAGATTTAATTGAACCAGATCCTGGATGGACTAAACCCAACACCAAGCCTTGATGGTTTAGGGACTCTCTCCAGGACACATTCCACATACTTACTCTTCACCCTGCACTTCCAGAGTTTAACTGCAGGGTCCAGGTGATACAAGCCAGACTTGGCATCAGATTCCCAGGAGAATTGGAGTTCATGATGTGTCCAGGATTCTGTTCACAGCTGCTGAGGGCTTCTCTTCTGCAGTGAAGTTGGAGATTGTCTCCCTGGCTCAGCTTCATGAAGACGGGTTCGGTTCTCCTGTTATCCTTGGAGTGTGTGGTGGGGATTCTACTCTGCGGCTCTGACTGAAGTCTGAAGGTTTCTCCTAATCTACGTGCTCCATCATGCTGGAACCCACCACCTTTGTGGATGAGAACTGGACAGTCAAGTGCCATCAGCGGAACCTGCTAGCGTTCCTTAATCAGCCAGAGGGGTCGCATTTGGGCAATGCCAGGCACTTCCTCCCTGAGGTTCCATGTACCACCTCAATGTTGTGGGTCTGAACATACTCGATCCGATGTGTTCATAGTGGTATTTGGGTGTCCATAGAAGCCTTGGCTGGACTTATCCAACCTGCATTTTCTAGCCATTTGTAGTGACTCTTTTATAAGAGAGACTTTGTGTGACGTTGGTTTGGAGTCACTTTTCTAGATTCATTTTTTGTACTATTGCATATACGTTTGTAATTTATTATAATAAACGGCTCTTCCCTTCCTGGGAAAGCTTCCTGCTGCGTGTGTGGATCCCTTAAAGAAATGAACAGAACTGGTGTGTGGCCAGCGTGTAACGGGCTCCAGGGATCCCAAAGAACTTTACCCTGAAAAACAGAGCAGCGAAAGTCTAGATCACTGATACTCTAACTTGTGGCTCCTTGGGGCCCTGCAAGAGTCTACATAAGAATGGCCATACTGGGTCAGATCAATGGTCCATCCAGCCCATCTTCCAACAGTGGCTAATACCAGGTGCTTCAAAGGAAATGAGCAAAACAGGCAATCATAGAGTGATCTATGTCATCTCCCAGCTTCTGGCAGTCAGAGGCTACGGACACCCAGAGCATGGGGTTGTGTCCCTGCCCATCCTGGCTAATAGCCATTGATGGACCTGTCCGCCATGAATTCATCTAGTTCTTTTTTGAACCCCCTTACAGTTTTGGCCTTCACAACATCCCCTGGCAACTAGTTCCATATCTTTTTTGAGATGGGATGACCAGAACTGCATGCGGTATTCAAGGTGTGGGCGTATCATGGATTTACATAGCACCATTATGATATTTCCTGTCTTATTATCTATCCCTTCTAATGGTTCCTAACATTGTTTGCTTTTTTGACTGCTGCTGCACATTGAGTGGATGTTTTCAGAGAACTATCCACAGTGACTCCAAGATCTCTTTCTTGAGTGGTAACAGCTAATTTAGACCCCATCATATATGTATAGTTGGGATTATGTTTTCCATTGTGAATTGCTTTGCCCCTTATCAACACTGAATTTCATCTGCCATTTTGTTGCCCAGTCACCCACTTCAGTGAGATCCCTTTGTAACTCTTCACAGTCTGCTTTGGACTTAATTATCTTGAGTAATTTTGTATCGTCTCCACATTTTGCCTCAACATCTCTGTTTACCCCTTTTTCCTAATCATATATAAATATGTTGAACAGGACTGGCCCCAGTACAGATCCCTGCTATTTACCCCTCCCCATTATGTAAACTGACCATTTATTCCTACCCTTTGTGTCCTATCTTTTAACCAGTTGCCAATCCATGAGAAGGCCTTCCCTCTTATCCCATGACAGCTTATTTTGCTGAAGAGCCTTTGGTGAGGAACCTTGTCAAAAGGCTTTCTGAAAGTCCAAGTACCTTATATCCACTGAGTCACCCTTGTCCACATGTTTGTTGACCCCCCCCAAAGAATTCTAATAGATCGGTGAGGCATGATTTCCCCTTAGTCCTCTCGTGAAATCTGCTTGTTTGATCAGATGAAGTACTACATCCCCATCTAGGGCAGAGCTGGGTAGTTTTTTCTAGCTTCTTTATCCTGGCTCACACGTGGCTTTGGTCATTCAGGCCTATTCGGCTGGCTGGGACCATGGCATTCTCCCCAACTCTTTTAGAAAACTGTGGCATCGTGATCTTTGACCTGGTCCCACCCCCGGCTGGGGTGGTAGAGAGCTCTATTTATTGTCTCATCTGAGGTGAGGCACCTCTGAAAGTGCATTGCCTCCTGTACTGCCCCGTGCTGTCAGCTGTCATCTCTGACCAGCAGTCTGCTGGCAAGATAAATCCATAAGCTTCTACCCCAGGGGTACTTGTGGCACCTTAGAGACTAACCAATTTATTTGAGCATGAGCTTTCGTGAGCTTAAGCTGTAGCTCAGGAAAGCTCATGCTCAAATAAATTGGTTAGTCTCTAAGGTGCCACAAGTCCTCCTTTTCTTTTTGCGAATACAGACTAACACGGCTGTTACTCTGATACCCCAGGGGTGGCTTTACTGTCTGCTTCGAGTGCCCATCCAGTAGCACAGCTGGAGAGGTTCCCCAGCACCTCGAGCTCCCGCCACATCCAGGCAGGCGGGCACTGAAGAGGGAGTGGGGATGCTCTGTGCTGCAGCTTTGTCTTAGCGGCTATCGAACCAACTGCAGGGGCAGGCTATAATACATCGACCTCCTCCCTGGGAAATGGGGGGCCCCGTGGGCATTCCTCTTTGAATCCTGAGCCGCGAGGTAGGGGGGTCGGCTGGGAGGCCTGACCCTGTGTTGGGAACACTGGGGCATGGCCACTAGGTAACTCAAGGGGATGGAAGACCACGAGTGTCGATGAAGCCCCCTCGCACTAGGCCCCGGTGTCCTTGGCCCCCCCCTCCTGCCTGGAGGCACTCGCAGCAGCTCTGCGTACTAGGCCCAAGTGTCCTTGGCCCCCCCGCCTGGAGGCACACACAGCAGTTATGCTGAGAATCTGCAACAGTATGTTGCAGAGTCAGACTGCCTGAAACTAAGCAAGGCCAAACGGGAGATATGGAAGAACAATGCTGAATAAAGCAGCTTTATGTATAGTTTAACAAATGATACAGAGAATCAGGGAACTAGCTGGGAACTGGATTGGCTGGCTATATGGATACTTGGAGCAGCTTGCTATTGGATAAGTATGCTGGGAAAAAGGATGTATAAAAGCCTGTGTAACTTCCTGCTCTGTTGTACAGGATTTGAGATTCAAATCTCCCTGTACCTTTTTGAAGCTTCAAATAAACTTTTCTGCTTCTCCACCCCGTTGTGATTATTGGGTGTAGCACGCCGGGTAACGAACCAACTCAAGCTGTTGTTCAGCCTCTCGGCACTGGGTGCCGGCAACACCTGGGACTGCTGTGTGGGCGTAGGGCTGTGTGGACGCACATCCTGGAGGAGAACCCGGGGGGCCAGTGCCGGCAGGCACGCTTCAAACCCTGGCTGGGGGCCTAGAGCGAACCCGGGCTTGGCAGGCTGTGGGGGCCGGACCCCAGAGCTGGAGCCGTCGCCCATCAGCCCGGCTGGCCACGAGCCCAGCTCCAGCAGGAGCCATGCTGGAGCCCTGCCCTGAGCTAGTACTGCCTGCCCTGGCCTCTGTGCCACGCGGGGCATTCCGGGAGCCCTGCCCTTTGCTAGCACGGGGCATGCTGGGGGCTGCAGTTCTCGGAGGCGCGGGGCATGCTGGGGGCCGTAGTCCTATGAGACGCGGGGCATGCTGGGGGCTGTAGTTCTCGGAGGCGCGGGGCATGCTGGGAGTCGTAGTCCCGTGGGGCGCAGTGCATGCTGGGGGCCGGAGTCCCATGGGGCGCGGGGCATGCTGGGAGTCGTAGTTCCATGAGGCGCAGGGCATGCCGGGAGCTGTAGTCTCGGTGTCGGGGACACGTGGTGTTCCGGCCCCGCCCCGGATCTCTATGGTAACGGCGGGCGGTTCGGCGCCCGGCGCGCGGGGATCCTGGGCCGCAGGAAGAAGCCGGGAGGGGCCCAGGCCGCCCGCCCCGCCCCGCCGGTGAGTCCGACGGTGCCCCCCCCCCTTCCGCGAGTCCAGCTTCCCCCCCCCACGGGCCAAGTCCCCCCCACGTGCCCAGCTCCCCGCCCCCGCACGGGCCAAGTCCCCCCCAACCCCCCACGTGCCCAGCTCCCCGCCCCCCTCTGGCCAAGTCCCCCCCAACCCCCACGTGCCCAGCTTCCCCCCCCCGCACGGGCCAAGTCCCCCCCAACCCCCACGTGCCCAGCTCCCCGCCCCCCTCTGGCCAAGTCCCCCCAACCCCCCACGTGCCCAGCTCCCCGCCCCCTCTGGCCAAGTCCCCCCAACCCCCACGTGCCCAGCTTCCCCCCCGCACGGGCCAAGTCCCCCCAACCCCCCACGTGCCCAGCTCCCCGCCCCCTCTGGCCAAGTCCCCCCCAACCCCCCACGTGCCCAGCTCCCCGCCCCCCTCTGGCCAAGTCCCCCCAACCCCCACGTGCCCAGCTTTCTCCCCCCGCACGGGCCAAGTCCCCCCAACCCCCACGTGCCCAGCTTCCCCCCGCACGGGCCAAGTCCTCCCCCCAACCCCCACGTGCCCAGCTTTCTCCCCCCCCGCACGGGCCAAGTCCCCCCCAACCCCCACGTGCCCAGCTTCCCCCCCCGCACGGGCCAAGTCCTCCCACCCAACCCCCCACGTGCCCAGCTCCCCCCCCATGAGTTCAGCCCCCCCACGGGTCAAGTCCCCCCCAACCCCTGACGTGTCCAGCTTCCCTCCCCCCCAACGGGCCAAGTCCTCCCCCCAACCCCCCACGTGCCCAGCTCCCCGCCCCCCTCTGGCCAAGTCCTCCGCGACCCCCCACGTGCCCAGCTTCCCCCCACCACAGGCCAAGTCCCCCGCAACCCCCCACGTGCCCAGCTTCCCCCCCCATGAGTTCAGCTCCCCCCCACGGGTCAAGTCCCCCCCAACCTCCGACGTGTCCAGCTTCCCTCCCCCCCCGCGGGACAAATCCCCCCCCTCCACCCCACATGTGTTCAGCTCCCTCCCCCCCCCCCCACGGTCCAGGTCCTGCCCGGTCTCCCCTTGCGGGTCCAGCATCCAATTCCCCCCCGCCCCCAGCCGGGTACTGGCCCCCCATGTGTCCAGTTCCTGCTCCCTGGCCAAGTTCCCCCCCACGTGTCCAGCTCCCCCTTCCCGCAGGGGCCAACAGGCTGGGTCCCTGAGGGAGAGGAGCCCCACCTTATCCCTCCCCCTTTCCTTTCCCACTGCTGAGGGGACTCCCGTAGGGTCCCACCTCCTCCCCGGGCGGGCTCCCCACCACCTCTCCTGCGCTGAGGGGACCCGTCTCCTTTCCCCCACCCGAGAAACCCAGCTTCCCCTCATCCTGTCCCCACAGGCACCTGGGTGCCCGAATGTGGGGGGAGCGTTGTCCCCTCGGCTCGCGATGTCCCCAGGGCACAGCTCAGTGCACGGGGCTGGCAGCAGGTGCTGGGTCCCGGGGCACAGAGTGGTGCCCTTGGTGTCGATGCCCTGCAGCATGGCCCCGGGCGTGTGACGCGCCCTGGGCACTTGCTGAAAGTACCGTTTCAAGCCGTTCTTTAACGGTTACTGCAGGATAGCTGCTGAGGAAATGCCACCCGCCCCCTCTACCAAAGCCTGGGGTGTCAGTAGCTCCGAGTCTGCCTTCCTCCCACGTAGAGGCTGGGGTTCGGGTCACGGGCCTCAGCCTCTGCAGCCTGCGAATGCCGAGCTTGGCTTTGTGTGAA